TAACGCACTGTACTCTTAAAATTCTGTTAAGAGGGTTGGTTTCATGTTAGGTATTCTTTTCACAAAAAAACTAAAATCTAAAAAAAGCATAACATAATCAGTTCAATGCCATAAATATACATATAGATTTATTTTAATAGATATATTACTATATAATTTAAGTACAAATCACAGATGTTAAATACACAATTCAATGCTTTTGAAATTTGTAGTGACTATTACAATCATAGCAACATGATAAGCTTAGAATATTTTCACTTTCATCCCTAACAGTCTACTTTCTTTTTTGAAACAGTGATTTTTTTAACGGATCACTTTATTCGGTGAAAATGATATAGGATATCTGTATTATTTCAGTTCATATAATACATTTTTGAGGTTCATACATGACACATGAAGTATTATCTCTTTTCATTGTGGAACACTATTCAATTGTATGGATGTACTACCTAGTTTTTTTTTTTTTTTTGCCTATATATGTCTATTATTATGTGAGTAAACAAAAATCAGTTGCTTTCTGGAGGTGAGCTCAGATGATGGCATAGCAGGAGGACCCTGGGCTGGCCTCATCCCTCAAACACAGCTGGATAACTATCAAATCATTCTGCATATCCAAGAAATTTACCTGAGGACTGACAGATCAAACTGCACAACTAGAGGTCACATCAAGGAAGGTAGGAAGTGTGGAGATATGGTTTGGGGGAGAAACAGATCACAGATGCGGTGGAAGGGAGGGAGCTCTGGTTAGGAGAAAGATAAGAGAGAGTAGAGTGCACAGGGATGTGCACAAAGAGAACACTTCCTCAAAGCCAAGTCCCATGACACAAAATCAGCATAGAGATCTATTGCACTTCTACATACCATAATGAATCCACAGAAGGGAAACTAGGAATCAATCCCATTTACAATTGCATCAACACAATAAGATGTCTAGAAATAAACCTAATGAAAGGGGTGAAAGACTTGTACTCTGAAAAGTATACAACACTGATGAAAGACATAAAAGATGATACAAAGATATGGAAAGGCATTCTGTGATAATGAATCAGGATAACAAATATTATTACAATGTCTAGACAACCCAAAACAATCTACACATTTAATTCAGTTCCTATCAAAACCACCAGCATTCTTCACAGGGTAGAACAAACACTTCTAAAATCTTGGAACAGCAAAAGACCCCAAATGGCCCAAGCAACCTTGAAAAAGAAATGCAGTGTTGGAGGCATCACAATGCTGGACTTCGAGTCACACTACAAAGCTGTAGTGATCAAAACAGTATGGTACTGGCACAAAAATAGACACACAGAACAATAGAACAAAATACAAAACCCAGAAATAAACCCACAGCTATATGGACAATTAATCTTTGATAAAGCAAGACAGAATATCAAATGGGAAAATGACTGTTTCTTCATAAATGGTGTTGGGAAAAAATGGACAGTTACATGCAAAAGAATGAAACTGAACACTTTCTGACACCATATACAAAAATAAATTCAAAATGGGTTAAAGACCTAAATGTGAGGGGCGCTTGGGTGGCTCAGTCGTGTAAGCAACTGAGACTTTGGCTCAGGTCATGACCTCACAGTTCATGGGTTCCAGCCTCTTGTCGGGCTCTGTGCTGACAGCTTAGAGCCTGGAGCCTGCTTCAGATTCTGTGTCTCCCTCTCTCTCTGCCCCTCCCCTGCTCATTCTCTGTCTCTCTCTGTCTCTCAAAAATAAATAAACATTAAAAAAAATAAGACCTAAATGTGAGACATGATATCATTAAAATCCTAGAGGAGAACACAAGCAGCAACATCTTTGACACCGGCCATAGCAATTTCTGATTAGATATGTCTCCCGAGACAAGGGAAACAAAAGCAAAAATTAACTATTAGTACTTCATCAAGATAAAATGCTTCTGCTTCTGCACAGTGAAGGAAGCTATCAACAGAACTAAAAGGTAACCTACAGAATGGGAGAAGATACATGCAAATGATATATCTGATAAAGGTTAGTATCTGAAATATATAAAGAACTTATAGATCAGAGTTAAGGTGGCAGAAGAGCTGGGAGACTCTAAGCTTGCCTCATTACTTGAACACAGCTAGATAAATCATTTTGAAACCCCAAATATCAAATCATTTGAACACCCAAGAAATCAATCTGAGGACTGAGAAAGCAAAAATACACAACTATAGGTGAAAAAAGCCACCACATTGTGGAAGGTAGAAGGTGTGCATAGTTTATTGGGGGAGAGATGACTGAGGGCGCTGTGATGGGAAGGGAGCCCGGATTGTGGAGAGAGGAGCAAGAGAGAAAGAAAGAGAGAAAGAGTGAAAGGGAACTGCACAAGAAAAAACATCTTCCCCAAACCCATTGGGAAAAGGAGAGGGGCTGAACACCACAAGTTTTTACAAACAGCAGAGCGCAGCGTCTTAGGTTTCAGGGATCCACACCATTGGAAGGGTCGTGCCTGGTGGGCTTATGGTGCTCTGGTAGAAAAGGAGGACAGGACCAGGAGCAGGCAGTGTGGTCTGAGGATCCCCTGGGTCACATGGGAAGAAGCAGTTTCCCTGCTTGGAGTTCATTTGGCAGAGGTGGCACTGCCTGTCAGGTGACAAAGGATCCAGCAGGTGCCACTGGGTTTCCCCGTTCACTAACATAGAACAGGGATGCTCGCTGAGGGCAGTGAGCCTTGGTGTCAGATTTCTGCTCTCTTTACCATAAACTCCAAGCCACTGTGTAGTTATGCAACCAATTTGTGGGACAAGCCAGCAATGGCCACAGTGCAGTGAGAATCTCCCCCAGAAGATCAGAACACCATGAGATCTCTACAATTTGGAGCTTTGAAACCCAGCCATGTGCCTGAGATAAAACACAGGAGTGCTATGCTGAGACAGGTAGATAGATCAGAAGCAGGCAGGGTGAAAGCAGGGATCTGGCTAAAGTCAGAGATACAAGATAGGTGATTATTTGCTCTTCTGTGAGGGCTTCCTGAAGAGTGGTGGGCACAGACTCCCTGCTCTTGGGGACAAGAGAGCAGGGCGATGCCATGGTCACCCCACCCATCTGTAATAACCAACCTCAGTGAGAATAATAGCCCCACCAAGTTGAGGCTGGAGTAGCTTACACCAAGGCCCACCACCCTGGGCCCTGCAGGTGCATCTGCACTATGGCAAGTCTGGCTGAGAATCAGCACACAGCCCCTTCACCAGAGGACCAACACAAAACCCTCGTACAGCTCGAGTCTACTGATCATAGAGTGCCTCAAAGCTTCAGCTCTAGAGAAAATAGAATTCCGCTGCATTTATGTTTTATTCCCCATGGGATATAAAAAAAAAAAGCAAATTTCCCATGGATACAGAAAGCAATTGTGTAAATTATTTTACTTTATTTTATTTTATATTTATTTTTTCATCTATCAGACCAAATGATCCTAGGTTCTGGATCCTTGTTTTTTATATTACCTTGACAATTGGAGAAAACAGAGGAATTCACCTCAAAACAAAGAACAGGAAGAAATGATGCAGAGAGATTAAATAAATACAGATATAAGATGTCTGAACTAAAATTTAAAATAATTTTAAGGACATTTAGGCTCTTTCCATAATTTGGCTATTGTTGAAAGTGCTACTATAAACATTAGAGTACAAGTGCCCCTATGCATCAGCACTCCTGTATCACTTGGGTAAATTCCTAGTAGTGCTATTGCTGGGTCCTAGGGTAGATCTATTTTAATTTTTTTGAGGAACCTCCACACTGTTTTCCAGAGTGGCTGCACCAGTTTGCATTCCCACCAACAGTGCAAGAGGGTTCCCATTTCTCCACATCCTCTCCAGCGTCTATAGTCTCCTGATTTGTTCATTTTAGCTTCTCTGACTGGCGTGAGGTGGTATCTAAGTGTGGTTTTGATTTGTATTTCCCTGATGAAGAGTGATGTTGAGCATCTTTTCATGTGCCTGTTGGCCATCTGGAAGTCTCCTTTAGAGAAGTGTCTATTCATGTTTTCTGCCCATTTCTTCACTGGATTATTTGTTTTACAGGTGTGGAGTTTGGTGAGTTCTTTATAGATTTTGGACACTAGCCCTTTATCCAGTATGTAATTTGTAAATATCACAGGCAGGATGGAAGTGGCTTCTGGTGGTGGTTCGAGTATTACCTTGCCTCCATGTACATGCTTTGTTTGATTCCATGTCCACACTTGTGTCTAGGCTACTCTCTCTGCCTACATGCCCTGATTTGACCTTGACCAACCTTAGGGAGTCCTGGAATCTTTGGCTTCGCCTCAATGTAGTTCTGTCTGCACTGACCCGCCATGGGGTGGGAAGACAGAGGCATCCAGGGTAGATCAGATGACTAGGACTTTGTGAGTGTTGGAGAGTGGAGGAGAAGGGGAAGTGGGTAGGTAGGAGAGGGGGGTTGGGCAGGAAGAAGGTGGGAGAGGAAGGAATGAGCAAGGCTAGTATTTACAGAGCAACTACTTCATGTCTGGCACTAGGCTCAACATTAAACATATGCCCCAAATTCATTTCAGAAAATCACCCACAGCATGTAATGATATGGTGTAACAGTCAGCTTGGTCTCTGTAACAAATACCACAGACTGGGAGGTTTAAACAACGCATTTATTTTTTTCCCAGTCCTGGGAACTGGAAGCATGAGATCCAGGTGTGGCAGGGCTGGTTCCTCCTGAGGCCTCTCTCCCTGGTGTGCACATGCCATCTCCTCCCCATGTCCTTACACGGTTGTCCCCTGTGTGTGTCTATGCCCTGATCCCCTCTTCTATTAAGGACCCCAGTCACATGGGATCAGATGGGATCAGGGCCTACCCTAGTGACTTCCTTTTACCTGAACCACCTCTGTAAAGACCCCATCTCCAAATATAGCCCCATTCTGAGGCCCTGGGGGTTGGAGCTTCAACATGTGAACTGGAGGGGACATGATTCAGCCCATAATATACTGCCAGTATTTTACAGGGAAGGAAAATGAAGGTAATAGGGGATTATTCAGAAAGGTTCACCCTTGTATGTGATCTAGCTGGGACTTAGAATGGATACATCTCCCCCAAACTGGTGACAGGCTGGAGCAGAGAGATCATGGGTCTTGCTGGAGGAGGGTTCCCACCCTGTCCTGTCCCTCACCCTGAGGAGGCCCCAAGGCCTCTGGGGGCTGCCATTCTGAACAGATGGTTAGGGGGCTGGGGTCGTGTGTCCAGAGGCAGAAGAATGGCCTCAGGGGTGCCGAGAAGGACAGTCCAGAGAACGCGTAGACAAAGGATCCATTGCCCATGCTGTAGAAGGAGATTCTGCCTGCATCACAGTCCAGGAAAATGCCCACACGATGCAGGGGCTCTGAAGGGTGCAGGTGAACTCTTGGGAAGGCAAGCGCCCAGAACCCCTTCTTGTACAGCTCCAGGGCCCAGAGTCCGTGCTGGGGGGCCTTGAGGATCCTTCCCATCCAAACCAAGCTCTCCAGACACATGCCCAGGTTCCAGGTCTTCCTGTGCCCCACCTGGACCTCCCAGTAATACCTCCCAGTAATACCTCCCAGCTGAGAACTGCTCCCGACCCAGCACACAGGGGTCCCGGTTGAATCTGCTGGGTTGTTGGGCAGCTCTTGTTCAAAGAACAGCTGCCTCAGAGAGAGCGAGCTTGGGGCTTGCAGTGTCGGGGTCCAGGGATGGGCTCACTGCGGGAAGAGGAGAGGATCAGATTTAGGGGTTAGGGTCCCCACCTATGCTCCTGCATGGAGGTGGAACCATGCCTCCTTGGGAGTCCCTGTGCATCCCCATTCTCTGTCCAGGACCCTGTGCACACACCCCACACTTCCCACTGAGACAGTGTCCTGGCTCTGCACTCTCTGTTGTAACAGTTTCCCCCACAGTGACTGTGCCTCAGAAGATCTGGGTCTCTTGCTGCCCAGGCTCTGCAGCCTGTCTGTCCCTCAGGTAGTAAACAGGAGCTAAGGTCTCTCAGGGCAGCTAAACTTGGTGTTTACAGCCATGGAACCAGCATTTAGCACAGCATTTCTGCACTCTGCAATAGAATGGATCACACATGTGTGCACACACGTGCACATATACATGAGCCCATGTGCATACACATGATGTATGTGCACACATACACACAAACACACACATGCACATAGATGTACAACATGCAAACACAGCACCCATATGCACATGCACATACACACAGAAACACGAGTGCATGTGCATACAAGGCACACATGAACACACATGCACAAATGCACATACTTGTACACACTGCACACACACATGAAAACACGTGCACATATGTGCATAACATGCACACACACATGAGCACATAAATGTACAACATGCACACGTAACACCCACACATACATGCACTCACACATGCACCCATAAACACACATGCAGGGAGCAGACCCTTCCAGCCCCCAGCATGGTCCTCACCATAGATGATGTCCTCTGGCCAGCCTGCAATGAAACAGAAAGATGTGAAACTGTAGGGTTTGCACTGACCAGATGGGGTGAAAGCTCATGTTCTGTGAAGCTAAGTCAAAACAGGATGTAATGAGCTCTCGCAGGGACCCTGTAAAGGAAGAGCAAATATCCCTTCTTCAGTGCCCAAAAAACAATCCAGGTCACTGTATTCCTAGGGAAAGGTTTTGTGGGGCGTAGCCTGATGGCCCAGCCTTCCCATGTCTGTCATAAAGACACATCTCTGACCTGTTCCCCAGATGGGGGCCTGACAGCTATGAGCAAGGACACAGGAGGCAGGGAGGAGAGCAGACAGGCGAGTGGAATGATCCATACTGATGATCCCCGCGCTCACAACAAGATCCTCTCAGGTGACAGGCTTGCTGCTGTATTTGTTGCTTGAGCATTTTCAGGATGTTGTCATCACCCTCGACTGATAGACTTTCCCAGGTTCAAGCTCACATCTGTCTCCCCAGCAGAGACCCGCCAGCCTTCCCCAAGTCACCCAGTGAAGAGCAGCCAAACACCTCTTAGTGATGGAGGATCTCACTGGGCATATGGTAGGTGGGCAGTCCCTGAGCTGGGGCCTGGGCAGGTCTCTCCCATTCCTCCTGTGCTTGAGGGTGCACGAAGGAGAGCCTTCATGCAGGGCTCCACATGAGTGCCCTGGCTGGAAGGGGCACGTCTGTCCCACTGGGGCCTGCTTACCTTGGGACAGCTGCTCCTCTTCTCTGTACAGTTTCTCTTCTTCCAGCTGTACCCTATCCCTGTCCCTCTGACGTTTCCAGAAAAGACAGGTGGCTCCAATTGCTACAAGTCCCACTACAATGAGCATCACAGGCAGCACTGTCCTCCACGCCATTGATGGGAAACTTCTGGACAACTGAGCTAAAAGAGGGTCTGGGGAGGCGAGAAAGCCAAGGTAAGAGAGCGCCTGTGTTCTTAGGACACACATGCCATAGGGTTAATGAGTCAGGGGGCAGGTGCTTGTGAACTAACCTGACATGACCTGAAAACATGTGTGTACCTTTGCACAGACAGACATGGACAGACACACAGGAGAGAGATGGTAGACAAAAGGCAAAAGGTTAAATATTGAGTGGGTCTGCATTCTGTGTATCATTCCTGCAAATTTTCTGAAACTTGAGGTTGTTTAGAAGGACATTTTTATACAGAGTGAAACTTGGAAGCCCCCAGGTGTCCTTCAGAATGTGAAAGCATAAACAGGCTGTGGTTCATCCAGACAAGGGAATACTGTTTACTGCTAATACGAAAGGAGCTATCCGTGCAGCCACTGTGGAGAAGATGATGGACGTTCCCCCCCAAAATAAAAATAGAACTACCACATCAATCCACTTCTGGGTATTAATCCAAAGAAAAAAAAATATTAACTGAGAAAGATAATGCACCCCTACATTTATTGCAGTGTTATTTACAATAGTCAAGATACGGAAACAGCACAAGTGTCCACTTATGGATGAAAGGATAAAGAAAAATATATATATTTGTACAAAGGGATGCTATTCAGCTATAAACAAGAAGGAAATACAGGCATTTTCAATAATATGGATGCACCTGAGGGCACTTTGCTAAGTGAGGTTCGACAGGGAAAAATGTGTAGGATCTCATGGATAAGTGAAATCTAAAATGAAACAAAACACCATCCAAACCTCCAGAAAACCAGAAAGCCTAGTTTATAGATGCAGAGAACAGATTGGTGGTTTCCAGAGATGAGAGATCGGGAAGCTAATGGGTGAAGAGGGTCAAAAGTGCAAACTTCCAGTTATAAAATAAGACCCAGAGAGGTGACATACAGCATGGAAACTATAGTTAACTACTGTGTTGTATAGTTGGAAGCTGACAGACTAGATCTCACAAGGTCTCATCACAAGGAACTATGCGGAGTATTGGATATTAACTACTGACTGTCTGTGGTGCTCAGAGCTCTTGAGGCCTGGATGGAGCAGAACACTCACCAGGTAGGCAGATCTTGGCCTCCATCCTCTCCTGGAGGAGGGGGTTGGAGATAGAGCAAGAGAGGTTCCCCACGTCCCTGTCCCAGACAGTCACATTGGACACCATCGCAAAGAGGCCCGTTGTTGGCAACACTGTGAGGTTGGTCGTGGAAGGTAGGGTCTGTCCCCTGAAGTCTCTCCACTCCACCTGGGGCTCTGGGTACCAGCCCTCCGAGGTGCACTCTGCCCTGATACCTTCATCCTGGCCAGCTCGCACTTGGATTCTGGGCTCAGAGCCCAGCCCTGTGGGAAGAGACAGGCTTTGCAGCCTCTGCAACCATTACCATTTCTGACAGAAAAGCACAGATCCTGAAAATTTCCAGCAGGTATCAGGGTTTTTCAGACTACTTGCTCTGTGTAATATTTATATACCATATATGCTACCCTCTTCTGAGAAACCACAGAACAAAACAGAAAAGGCCCAGGAAGATCAAATACCTTTCCTGTATTGCAAAATCAGTGTCTTTTCCTGTTTCTCTCTGTATCTCTTTCTGCCTCTTTCCTTCTCTCCATACCTCCGTTCCTTTCTTTCTGGGGTCAGTGTGGGTAACAGAAGCCGACTTAGAAAATGAGCCAGGCGTCCAGAACCTGCCTGTTCTAGTGCATTATCGCATTTTGTGGGACACGTGTAGACCGACACAAACACATTAGAGCATGCTGTGGGACGCACTCAAGCCAGGCCCAAACATGTTAGCGCAAGCTGTGGGACAGGCCCAGGCCGCTGCATATGTGTTTGTGCGTGCCGTGGGATGCGTTCAGGCTTGGGCCATGATCAGACGATCTGCAGCTGGAGGATAAGTGCTAGGGGAGATCAGAGACCCTAGTGGCGACCCTTACCTGCCACTCTTAGCCACAGGGTGGTCTCCGCAGACGCCATGCCATCTTTGAACTTGCAATGGAAGGTCCCGTTATCGAACACCATGACATTGTGTATGGTCAGAACAGCTTGGTCTTGGGCCAGCCCGGACATCAGGAAGGTCGTCCTGCCCTCGTACTGCCACATCTGCTCTTCAGGCACATCTTTGCCTTTCTTGTGCAGGTGCACAGCTGGGGACAGCTCCTCCCTGTACCACCTCACCTCCATGTCCTTCACACTGATATTGAGGGACAGATGGCATCGCAGCTTCACACTTTCCCCCACCATAGCCAGGACCGGTTGGCCGGGACCAGAGACAGAGAAATCAGCTTTCCCTTATGAGGTCATAGCAGAAAGCATGGGTTAGGCCAGGTGAGAGGAGACCATGGGCCATCCCCCCCACCGGGCACAGGGTCCCCGCCCCGCCCCCCCAGCCTGTGCCCAGTGTCTTCCCCTGCCCACGCCCAGGGGACACCCACCCACACGCAGGTTCTTCAACAACACCCCATGCCCTTGTCCAGGGTCCCCAGGGAAGGACTGCTTGGATCCAGTTTAGCCCCCTACTGTGTTCCTGTCCATGCACAGGCTCCCTCCTAACATGGCTCATGGGAGAGCGGGGAGAGTTCTCCTACCGTTTGCAGAGAGGCTGCAGGACAGAAGCTGCAGGAGGAGGAAGATGATGGAGCAGCTGGGTGGAAAGATGTCTCGACCTTGTGTGTTTGCCATGGCTGTTGGAGACAGAGAGGCCTGAGCCCCAGATATTGGAGATAGGGCAGGACTGAGTTAATTTCTGTCTCTCTCGGTTTCTGTCTCTGTCTCCCTCTGTTTCTGTCTTTCTGTCTCTGTCTCTCTCTATCTCTGCCTGTCTCTGTCTCGGTTTCTCTGCCTGTTTCTCTGTCTCTGTATGTTGCCTCTGTCTCTCTCTATGTCTCTTTCTGTCTTTGTCTCTCTCTGTCTGTGTCTGTCCTCTCTCTGTTTCTGTCTCTGTCTCTGTCTCTGTCTTTTTCTCTCTGTCTCTCTGTTTCTGTACCTGGCTATCTATGTCTCTATGTGTATCTCTCTGTCTCTGTCTCTCTCTGTGTCTTTTTGTTTCTGTCTCTGTCTCTCTCTGTCTGTCTCTGTTCCTGTCTCTGTCTCTCTCTATCCCTCTCTGTCTCTGTCTCTCTTGGTTTCTATCTGTCTCACTCTGTTTGTGTCTCATGTCTCTCTGTCTCTGTGTGTGTCTCTCTGTTTTTGTCTCTGTGTGTCTCTGTTCCTGTCTCTGTCTCTGTCTGTCTCTGTCTCTCTAGGTTTCTATCTCTGTCTCTATTTGTGTCCCATCTCTCTCTGTCTCTGTCTGTGTGTCTCTCTGTTTCTGTCTCTCTCTCTATGTATGTCTCTCTCTGTTTCTCTCTCTGTCTCTCTCTGTCTCTTTCTCTCTGTATCTGTCTGTCAGTTTTTTTGTCTCTCTGTTGCTGTCTGTCTCTGTCTCTCTCTGTCTGTCTCTGTATCTCTCTGTCTCTCTCTGCCTGTTTCTGTATCTCTCTGTCTCTCTCTGCCTCTGTCTGTCTCTGTCTCAGTTTCTGTCTCTTTCTCAGTTTCTCTCTGTCTGTCTGTCTCTGTTTATATCTCTGTCTCTGCCTCTGTCGGTCTCTCAGTTTCTGTCTCTTTCTTTCTTCGTCCCTGTCTCTGTCTCTTTCCCTCTCCTACTCTATCTCTCTCTGTCTCTCTTTCTTGTTCTCTCTCTCTCTCTGTCTTGGTGCGGGATGAGTCAACACTGGGAGGCTAACGGAAGTGAAGGAAACATGGCTAGGGGAGAGAAAGGTCCCTTTTCACTATCTTGGCCCCTCTTACTCCTGCACAAGTTGCTTACCCTAGAGACAGAGACACAACAGTGGCCACCTGCTCTTGTGTCCACCTACTTGTGGATGACCTTTCTCTTGTGGCCATGTGTCTGCAAAACACCATGGACACATCCTCCTGTGAACGGGCTCTGTCTCCTCACCTGTTTGTATAGGAGCCTTGCCCGACCTCTGGCTGTGCTCTGTCATGGAACATGAGCCCACTGGGAGAGAAAAGCCACCCCCTAGTTGGGTGACACCAAGGCCAGAAGTACCTCTGTCGACCCCCTTACAGTCCACAAAACTCGCAGTTGGAGGAGGGAGCACTCGAGCCAGAGGGCTCCTAGACAGACATGGCCTGAGGCCAGCATGCTCCAAAGATTTATATTTATGAACTCAGCTTTGAGAACAAGTGTTCTGAACCACATGTGCTGTCTGGGCGATTCGGCCCAGCACCTCCTCATGCAGGACTGGCATGAGAAGGTATGTTGGCACTTGCCCTCATTCTCTTCCGTGTTTGCCTTCCTTTGGTGAAAGCCTCTGGGGTCTCCCTGTCACTCAAGAATAGGGGAGGGGTGGAGAACACAGACATGTGGATGAGTGCCCTTAAAATAGAAAGTACTCACCTTTCCAAATAGTAGTAGGGCTGTAGGGCTTCCCAGGGAGATTTTGTGGCCTTGAGGGGATCGCCTGACTTCTCCACAAGTTCCAGGAAGGTGTAGAACAAGTCTTCCAGACGTGATAGGAGAGAGCAGCGGCTGAGCTCCCCAGCTTCTGTAGACTCCTAGGACTTTCTGGAAAAATGACCAACTGTGCCTTTCTGGAAGGTGCAATAGAAAAAATAAACAAACCAAGGGCTTCTTAAAGGGTGTGTTTGACAGAACTGAACACACTAAGTGTTGGGGAGCAAGGCCCTGGTAGCAGGAGATAAGGGGAGAGAGAAAGACCCGGCAAGGAACCCCCGGGGTAGGGATGGCTGTCTGGGCTGGTGCCAGGAGCCCCTAGGTGGAGACCTGGCTCTTGAGTGCGTGGATCCAGGCCAAGGGCAGAGGCTGGGGGACTCAGATCAAGTTTCTGCATTATCAAAACACCTCCAGTCCTGGACAGGCTGGGCCTGGTCCCTTTGGGAAAGTTTCTCATGTTCAGGTTGAAGTTGGTTAAATTCTAGCATTCGCCCCCCACCCCAGACTCCTGTGCAGGAAATCAGGCCACCTCCTCCTCCATGTCTGGGGCCATGGCAATCTTTCCTCATTGGGGACCTGACTTGGGCTGGGCTCAGAACACCCAGCCCCATTACCCCTTGTGTGAGTAAGACACTGGCCTGAACCCTACCTGTTCTTCCCTCCTGTTGACCCAAAAGTCTGCACATTTTCTGGGAGAGTTTTGGAGGGAAAAAAACAGTTAGGGAAAGTTTGCGTCCCTCCTGGAGGTGGGATATTTGGTTGAATTCAGCAGAATGTTATGGACTGAAGATTTGTGTCCCCTTTCCAAATCCGTGCTCACACAGGGACTGATGCTGCCAACCCACACCGTCCTCTGTGTTCCTATCAGGAGAGCGAACTATTTGGTAATCAAGTTGCTCCCCTGTTCTATATAAATACGAAGAGTTATGCTGCCACTCATTTTCATCTCCCCGTGCATTGCTTTAAGCAGATAATGACATCATCTAAAACCCAGGTTGGGTATACTTCTGAGTCAGGATGGAGGACTGGGGATGTGACATTAGAGGAAGCACCTAAGGGGTTTGGCAGCCGTGATGGAATGGATCCTGAAGGTGGGCGCACCTGGACAAGTGGTCCTTGGTGAGCATGCACATGGTCCGCAGCCTTTTACCTGAGTGGGAAGAGCTCCTGGAGAGAGCAACCAAGGCCCTCAGGGGCAGTGATAAACCCCAGATGGGGACGGGCTTCCTGAGTCAAGGTGGAAGGAAGGGGGCCCCAGACTGTAGAGTCCCATTGCCATGGCATGTCCAGGACAGGTACATGCAGACAGACAGAGAGCAGATTGATGGTTGTCAGGCAGTGGGGATGAGGGGGGAAATATAACCACAAAGCAGTTCGGGGGTTTGTTCTGGCACGAGATCCAGGTGGTGGCCGTACAAGCTTGTGTCAGTGTGCTGCATGTTACTGGATCGTTCACTTCAATGTGGTTGACTTTGTGTTATGGGAATGTCACCGCAACTGGAAAAAAAGAAAAAAAAAAACAAAAAACAAATGGAAAACACAAGGTAGAAGGGAAATCTCCAAGTTGCAGGCTCCCGGGCGCCCCCTGCGGGGATGCGTGTGCAGTCCAGCACCCTGCTCCAGGGATGCGCCAGGACCCAGTGAGCTTGCGTGGTCCAGGAGCACCTGCACCTGCCTTGAGCCTGGCTCCTTGCAGGGTCTGTCCTACAGAGGGCAGAGGCCCTAGGAGAGCTGAAAGGCCCCTCCCCGTCCCCCCCCCC